GAATAACATAGTGAACAATCCATGTACCTTTCATCTGAATTCTCTTATTAATATTTTATCTCATTTGTTTTTGCTTTTTTTTGTTTTTTGCACTTTTAAAAAATTTAAGTATAGTTGACACACAGTATTACATTAGTTTTAGGTGTACAACATAATGTTTTGACAAGTTTAGACATTATGCTGTGCTCACCCCAAGCGTTGTTACCATCTGTCACCATACAGAGCTATCACAGTATCATTGACTCTCTTCCCTGTGCTTTGTATTCCCTTGTATTGTATTCCCATGACTTACTCATCTATAACTGGAAACCTGTATCTCCCACTCCCCTTCGCCCATGTTGCCCAAGCCCCTTCTCCTCTCCTCTGGCAACTATCAGTTCATTTGTTTTTTCATTTATCTGTCTATAAGAAGTATGGACTGATTTTTTTTTTAATTATAATTTATTCCTGTTTTTCATTATTTTGGGGCTCAAGCTATCCTAGATTTAGCCAGTGTGAGATACTTCTCTGGCTCTTGTGACCTATGGCATGCCCTTATCATGTTTTTGTTTTGTTTTTAATTTTTATTTATTTGTTTTGGGCACTTCCTTACTTGTTTCATCCTGTACCTACTCTACCCTAGCCCTGGAATCAGCCATTTTACCAAAGATTCCTGGTTCCTTTTCATGGAAATGGTGTTAGAGAACAAAGTCTGGGTGCTAGGTGTGCTCATAATTACTGGGGTGTCTTTGCTTCCATATCCTTTCAACAGAGCTAGGAAATATATGCATTTATATATACATATACATATGCATACACATACTTATATTTATACATATACATATGTATACATAGATCTTCTAGAAATCATGAATTCACACCAACACCTCCAATTCCAGTCTATTCCCAGAGGATTCTTTCTGGTCTTCCTTTCTTTCATGTTTCTATGTCCCTCCTTCTCCAATGAGAACCCTAACTCCCAGCAACATGGACACATTTGCTCATTCATTAAGTCCTGTAATATGCCTGGAATGATTTCAGCATTGTTTTGTCCATAGCACTACCAAACACGAAACTCCCAGGAAGAGTTTAGCATTTATTTGCTGTTCTTCCCTCACTCGGTCCTATCCAAGGCTGAGAGCCTACAGTCAAGAGATCCTAAGCTACCTGAGAGCTGGTTTTGTCTTTCTCTTCAGTATAGCTGTGCATTCGTTTGAAATACAATTAGATTCATTTGTCTCAATTTACTTCCAGTTTAGGGGTATTTTCCCTCCATCCCGTCCTGTTGATTTAATTAAAAATTGTAATTTGTAGAACATTAACATGGTCCCAGAAGTCAAAACTATAGAGAAAGGTATACTTAACAGTGTCCCTCCTGTTTTGCCCTCCCTTTCCATTTGTCCCCATTCTGCATTTTCTGCTTTGTCCTTTGGATACACCCTGAAGTGTAATATGCGTATTTTCTTATTTCCGCTTTTTTCATACATAAAGGGTAAAATACCATGTACCTTTTTGTCGAAGCCTTTCTTATATCTTTTTTCTTTTGATTGAATGCACCATAAATAGAATTCTGATCTGGAATAAGTAGGCTTCTGTCACATGTTGAGTTGTTAGATTTATTATAGTCATTTGTAAAAAGTCAGATAGTTTCTACCAATAGCTGTTTTAAATTTACTTTTGTAGTAGTGACTGCTATTGAGTCCCTTAGTAACAGGCTTCAAAAGTGAGTTCTCATGCAAAATGGAGAACTGTTTTTTTCTTCATCCACTGAGGTTGATGGAAGATTCAGTGGACTCGGATGGGATTTTTCTGGAGTGGAAGATTTATCAAGATGGGAATGGGTTATTCCCAATGGAGCAGAGAGTGGTATAGGATTGATGAGGCACTGGCTGGCTCGTGGAGTTCACTCTGAGCCTAGGATCCCATGTGTCCTGTGTTTCTCTCAGTTCTGCTGGGATCATGTAGCTTAGAGCCCACTTAGAGCTGTTTGCAATTTTCCTCCCTTTGGTATTGGAGAAAGCTCCTCCCATGGCCTTTTTCATGCCCAGATTCAACAGCTAAATATTCTATCTTTCAACTTCACATCTGTCCAATGCTTTGTGAATCCCACAGTATTGTCTTAATCTCTGTGAAACAGTAGAACAGGTCTTATGTCTGTTTTGCAGCTGAGGAAACTGAAGCTCAGAAGAAGACTAGTGACAGAGCTGGGACTAGAATCTGGGTCTTCCGCCTGAGAGTCCAGTGTGGTCTTGGTCCATCACAAGGACCCCCTCTGCTGGCCCCTTTTCCTCCTATCTCAGAGCCGACAGGAGGAGATTTATGCTTGCAAATCTCTGTTCTGTCCAAATCAGCAAAGTCACATGCCTGCTGAGTATTAGGCCATTCAGAAACTACCTAAAATCAGTTCTGAGGGTTTACATGAACAATTTTGTTACCTGAACTTGTGTAATAGTGACTGTTATTTAAAACAAATGAGCCATAAACCAGGCAGTGGTTTTTGTTCTCAGAAATTTTACTCATAGTAGGATTTTACCTATATGCATGTGTTATTGTGTCTCGGCAACCAAGAATGTACAACAGTGATATAGATTGTTAGAGTTCTCTCTCTCTTTTTTTTTTTTTGTATTTCTAATGCAAAAACAAAACAAAACAAAACTCATACAATACATTAAAGCAAAATCCTCTTTTGTAAAGCCCTTAAGTTTTTCAGGTAACTCTCTTACTATTTTTGTAATCTTTTTTTTTTTTTTTTTTTAAGATTTATTTGACAGAGAGACAGCGAGAGAGGGAACACAGGCAGGAGGAGTGGGAGAGGGAGAAGCAGGCTTCCCGCCAAGCAGGGAGCCCAGTGCAGGGCTTGATCCCAGGACCCTGGGATCATGACCTGAGCCGAAGGCAGACGCTTAACGACTGAGCCACCCAGGCGCCCTTGTAATCTTTTTTAAGAACTCAGATGAGACATGAATCTAGGAATAAGAATACCCTGTTTTTATTATAACAATGTAAATTTCGTACTCCAAGTTCAGAATCAAAACACAGGTATTTGGGCTTAGATACTTCTGGCAAACAATAGAAATGAGGCCCACATAGTTGCTCTTTACGATGTATTTAAGAAAACAGATGGCATGATGCGTTTTCCTGTTGACAAGTGAACCTCCAGGACCTCCACTTCATCCTTCAGGGATGTCATGATGGATTGGGTGTGACTTTTTCAAAATTTAAATTAATTTGGTGAACCTACCCAGAACAGAGTTATGCGTGTCCTGTATCTTGGGATGCCTGGCAGGCCTAGCAGCCCCACATCATCCTGAGGGCACGGTTTGCCTGAGCAGCAAGACCCTGCCTGTGATGGCCCTTCCTACATGAGACAGGAAGGGATTCTCCCTTGGAGGAAAGGGCCCTGGGTGAGGAGTGCAGAAAACATCTCTGAGTCTTAATCAGCTTTTGTTCACCCTGCAAACCCCCTGAAGTCAGCTCCTCTGCAGGCCGGGCTCCCCATCCTTCCCAGAGTGGGCAGGTGGGGATGGATCAGCCCTCACACAGCCAAGGACAGCTTCTGGGGCATCCAAAATGGGGTGATTGAGGAGCAATGAGTGTCGTCCTTTTTCACTAGGCAGAGGGTGGCACTTTGGTGAGGATTCTGGTTTCTTATCTGAAACATCAGCATCCCTGGGCTTTCAAGTTCAGTCCTTCAACAGCCCAGAGTGGAGAGGGAGAGGGAAGAGAGAGAAGAGGGGTTGGCTTTATGTAAGCAGATAATTTCCCCCTTTGTCTGCTGGGTTAGTTGGGTTGAGTTGGGTCGGGTTGGGTTGAGTTGGGTCGGGTTGGGTTGAGTTGGGTCGGGTTGGGTTGAGTTGGGTTGGGTTGGGTTGGGTTGAAAAGGTCCCTGATAGGGAGATGTGCCAGGTTTGGGCTGGAAGGAAGGCAGAAGGAAGGCAGATGTAACCTCCATCAGAATCCAGGGCTGTGTGTGCAGAAGCTGTGCTGCCTATGATCTCATCTGCTTCCTTAGCAGCTTTTTAATAGTACTTAGGAAATCCATAACTCATGTAACTTGGCTCCTATAGCCATTCCTGGTTGGAAATACAGATGGTTCCTTGGATGTGAAAATTGGGTAATCATCCACCTGACTCCCAGGCTTGCCTGAGCAAATGTAGGATTCTGTATGTACATGTAGATGGAGGATTGCAGACACGAAAGATGGAGTAAACAACAAGCAGTTGGGAATGTGTACACGTCTGCCAAAGCCTTTCCAGGACAGGTGTTCCCATAAATGGGCAACAAATCGTACTGCCTCTTCATCTCCTACGGGGAAGACTTTTGGGGGAAGATCATGGCAAGAAAGCGAGGGTTACGGATGACAATAGTGCTTCACCGGTGCCCTGTTTCCTGTGTGGGAAGGGAGAATGGGGCTGTGAGGTGGGTCTGCCCCGACCCTGTCCACTGCTCTGGCTGGAACCTGCAGGTACTGCTAGGGGATCCTGCTCCCCCTTCCTGGCTCAGTTTGGACGCGAGGGTCAGGACTGCTGTGTTTGGCTGAAGGTATTGAAGAAGCCCTAAACTTGGTGTGTGCGCTCTCTGGCCAAAGCGTAGCCCTCCCGGGTCCCTGCTCTTTGACGTGTGATGCGAGCTATCCGAGGAGGCTCTGAGGGAGGTGGGACATCTCTGAGTTCAGGCTACTGGGGTGGGGGGGGGGCGGCGGGCAGTGGGGGTCAGGAGGCCTGCCACGACAGCACGTGGCATTTGGGGCCTGGACTCCTTGGGATCTCGGGATTGTTCGTTTCCTAAGAGACAGCGCATGTGTGTTGGTGTGGTCTCTGCAGCTCTGACACCCACAGTCTTGCTTAGGAAGACACTGTCCTATGTCCTGTCCCCGTGTGTGGCCTCTCTTTCTGTGCTCACGTGGCTGTACTCAGTGCTGTGTGTCCTGCCACAAGACTGTTGTGCGGCAGGGCAGATGGCTCGTGGTCCGGGTCCCCGAGGGCGTCCTCACGTGTGCGTGTTCTCTCTGCCGCCCTCAGAGAATTCTCAAAGGAAAGAGAGAAGGCTAAAGCCCGGGGAGATTTCCAGAAGCTCCGGGAGAAGCAGCAGCTGGAGGAGGATCTAAAGGGCTACCTGGATTGGATCACCCAAGCAGAAGACATTGATCCTGAGAACGAGGAAGAAGGAGGAGAGGAAGGCAAACGAAACAGTATGTAGCACCTTCCTACTCCTGACCAGACAGAGCTCGGGGGTGATTCAGGCGCCCGCCGGGCGGAGACGTTTCAACCCCCTGACCCGGCCTGTGAGGTGGGCGGCCTCCTCTCAGCTGCCCGGTTCCTTCTGCCCGCCCCTCAGAGAGGACAGGTGCAGTTACACTGACTCTGAGATTCCGCCCGAGGCTTGGGTTTTAGATTTGTGCCTGGTCACAGGGTCAGCCACACTCGCTCGTTGGGAATTCGGGGAGCCCCTTCTGTGGGGGCACCAGCCATGGTAGGACGCATGGTGACCCTATGGCACGGGAGCTGCGGCTTCTTCCCTGAGGAGCGAGTCGTGTTACTGGACGAGAACTTGAAGAGCAGGGTCCATCTCCATCCTCGTGCCCCCTGGAATGGCTCCCACCTGTGCTCCACATGCAAAGCCAGATGCTTAGCCCGTCAGGAGCTGGGAAGAAACCAGTTCAGCAGTCTGGGCAGGGCGAGGAGGCATGTCAGTCGGCATGGCTCCTTGGAGCCCACTCCCCTAGTAGCCCACTGTGGCACCAGACCCCTCGGGCACTGTCTGCAGCAGGAAAGCCCGATGCCCAGCGACCCCTGGCGTTCATTACCGTCGTCAACCAAGGTGTGTCTTTTGCCACCTACTTTCCCCTATAGATGTGCTCTTACTCTTTCCGGGTCATCTGTGCCTCAGGTAAAAGCAGAAATTGAAATTCAACAGTAGATTTGACTGAGATGCTTGTGGTTTGTTTCAAATCTAGAGTAGCTGATAGTAAGGACCGAGAACCTATCTCAAATGCACTTGTCCCTTGAGAGGCCCGGGGAACGAAGGTGGGTCCCACCTCGTGGAAGATGGGTGAGCAAGCTCTCCTTGGGCAGGGTCCCTAGGACGTCATGCAGTCACTCCTTCATTCAGCAAGGCGGGTACTGGTTGCTGGGGGCGCTTCTGGATGCATCCCGAGGCCTATGCATCCCGAGATGCAGCCCAAGGGGACAGAGA